TGGAATACAACAGTAAGCAACAAGAGTATGCTAATAAACCATCAATAAATAATTCCTAATTAGTACTACTTTACACCAGTTCTTCAGTGAAGCCAAGCTAAGGAAGCAAAGCATTTCAAGCATTTGACTGCACAGATAAATGGTAATTAGAGGAGACACACGGATATTTTCTAAATTTTTAATTAATTGCATTATTCATCTGAGCAAACTGCAAAACACAGAGCTGCATTCTGTGCCGTGCCTCGAGCAAAGCACTCAAATATTAAATAGGTATCAAAATCCATATTTGGGCGAGGAGCTGAAAATAACTTTATTTTGAGGAAGTGCCACGCCGTCGCTGCTCCCACTGAAACAGCTGCCCAGAACCTCAGAAATAAAGGGCCATGTTCAGTGAGGGGCTGTGGGTTTATATTCCCATCTTTATTTAGGGTTTTGCACCCCATAGGACAGGTAAGAAATTACGTGGTAACAGAACTGCTTTAAGGAGGGCTCAGACTTACGAGGCATGTAGGGTGGGTTGTTCAGGAGGTCGTCTCTGCAGCCATCAAGAGCACCGTTCGAAAAAGCTGCTGGTTCATTCATGTCCTAAAAAAAAAAAAAAAAAAACCAAAAAGAGCAAACCCCTTTGTGTTGGCTTCAAGCTACAGAACCCATTACAGCCTGAATTGCAAACGAGCAGCATTGTAGAATTCCTCAGGAGACCCTGCACCTGGCAGGTTTAGTCTGATTTTTCATGTTCCGTGGAGAGGGACTTTTCACAGGGCCATGGAGTGACAGGACAAGGGGAATGGCCTTGATCTGAAGGAGGACAGGGTTAGATGGGATATTGGGAAGGAACTCTTCCCTGTGAGGGTGGGCAGGCCCTGGCACAGGTTGCCCAGAAAAGCTGTGGCTGCCCCTGGATCCCTGGAAGTATCCAAGGCCGGGTTGAAGCAACCTGGGCTAGTGGAAGGTGTCCCTGTGTTTTTATTTTACTTATCATAGAATCATCAATGGAAAAGGCCTCCAAGATCATCAAGTCCAAAGTCTATCTAATGGGAATTTAACACCAAAAACATCTGAGCTGCAGCAGCAAATACCGGGAATTGTGTCCCTCTCCACCAGTCTGGCAGAGAAGAACAATCCAGAAATCATTCTACACTTACAGTCCACAGGCCATCGAACTTGATGCTTTTCTGGGGGTCGATGGGATTGTTGTAGACCTCCAGGATTTCTGTCTTCCACCACTCGGCTGTGGAATTGCGCAAGAAATCTGGGAAAGCAGCATGTGCTCCAAAGAGCTGGAAAAATAGAAGGAAAGCAGGACAGACACAAGATTAAACGCATTCTACTGTTAAAATGGTGGGAATTTTATAAAAAATAAAATAAGAAGGACAAAAAGTAATTACTTGTTCACTAATTTTTTTTGGCTATTAGGAAGGAGGGCCAGTTTCTGACAGTTATTCCTTCCATGAAACTAATCAACTAGTTTGCTGTTATTTGTATTAATTAATGTCTAATTTGAGTCCCAGACCAAAACTTATCAACCATTACCTGTATCTGGGTTTGCTCGGGCAGGGACTCATCAACAGTTACATTAGGAAGAAACGGCCAGACCTAATAGAACAAGGAATATTTCAAACAATCAAACCACACTGAATAAAATCTGAGCACCAGGAACAGACAGAAGGAGCTGTTCTTCCCTGGACTGTACCTTGGAATATATAATTTCATTGGAATTAGGCCGTTTCATGAAGACATCATTCGCCACACCTCTGTCGAAGGCAAGATAATTGGTTTCATTTCCAGAAATGGCTGGATCCTACAATTAAAAACACTTCTTTTACACTCAAGCCCCAAGTTTATAAAGCTGTTGAATGCATTCTGCATTCTACAGTGCTATATTGAAATTTAGGAGCACTATTCCAAACTGACCAGGATGATGATGAATCTCATTCCATCTGCTCTGATTCTGTTAACCAGAGCTGGTAATCCAGCAAAGCGTGGGCTAAGGGTGAAGTCCAGTTGCCTCTCCATGTAGTCAATATCTACATATTGGACATCCTGCAGTTCAAGGAAAAAAAAGCAAAAATAAAACAAACAATCAAAAAACACAAACAAAAACCGCAAAACCCCCAAACCAAAACAAACCAAAAAATCAAACCAAAACACACACACACAAAAACCCCAACAAACTAATTAATTTAAATTCGTTTCTCTCTTTTTTTTTTTTTTTGCCAAATATTGAAAATCTTCCAAAATAAGTAAAATACTGAACATTTGATCTGTAATATTGGAAGCAGTGGTAACTTTGGGCTAAAGCTGTCAAATGAATATTACACAACTCATCAGCAAGTCCAATTCAAAATAAGCCTTTCACTGCTGCATCCAATCAGAGAGTAGAAATTGATACATGATAAAGAAATAAATTCCTGGATTTGTCTATATATGCATGTACACAGAAACTGCATGTGTGCTTTGATATCTATAAGAAAACAGTAGAAATAGTTATTCTGTATTTAAAAAATTATATTAATTGCAGTTAAAATGGAGTCATATTCAATTTATAATATAATTTTTTAGGTCTATGTGCTATTCCAACCTTCCCAGCAACCTGCACCAAATCATAGCTGACTTCACACAGAGCACCATGGAAAGCTGCCTTTTCCCCCCGTTTGCCTTCCTTGTTCGTCTCTGTTCCTTCATGCTGCTTTGGTAGGAATGATAAAGAAAATAAAGCAGCCCAAGGCCTACATTTAACATGTCTCAGGGTCTGCAGAGACGTTCAGCTGTGGCATAAAATCCACTCTCCTCTACCACTCTGTTTTCTTTCTGGTTGATCACTGACTTATTTAGTGTTTAAATGGCCCTAGTTAACGCCATGAAGCCAAAATTGCAAGAACGAGCTCAGATGTGGATTGTGCCCAGCTTACATGAGGAATGTCAGCTGCCTTCATATCCTCCACCAGCTGGGACACCTCTGTGTCGTTCCTGTACCCGTAGCGGCACAACTGGAAGCCCAAAGACCAGTAGGCTGGCATGACCGGCCGTCCAATCAGCTGGAAGTGAGGAAGAATATTTGTGGTGAGCAGGTGAAGAGGGCACAAACCAGGCAACCCAAACCCAGCATGAGTCTGCATGAGAACAGGGATCTTACTGCAGTGTACTGCTGGACAACCAGCTCTGGCGTCGGGCCCAAGAACATGTAGAAGTCGAGAATCCCTCCGGTTGTCCGGTATGTCAGGGCAGGGGCT